GTTGTCATGTGGCATACCTAGCTCAGTGAATAAGTAAAGATGATATTATGCCACTGGTATAAACAACTTCTAATTACATGCCCATACAAATCCTCCAGGTCAAGTGGTGTGAATATAAGGGAAGAATAAACAAATAAAAATAAATTTAAAAAGGCACAGTAACTTGTGAATTGAAATGAATAATGACTAAGTAAACTTATCTGATAAGTGAATAGATTTTAGATTTAAAATAAGAAAAAGTAATAAACATCTCTTACAGTTTTTTTCTCTCTCTTGGCTGGAGGCGGCTGTTGCTGCGTAGGCACTATGATAGGTGCGGACTGATACACTGGCTGACTTGGGTAAAAAGGCGTTCCTAAGAAGTTAGAAAAAGAGTAAATAGGCATTCAGGTATTTTGTCAAACACTACAGAACTATCAAATGACACTGTGTCTCTGTACAAGCCCTTTAAAAGGGTAAAAACAAAAACACTCAGCATTCTTCATCATCTTTTTCCATTAGCTCTCCTCCAGTTACTGAAGTGGTCAAGAAATTATTTCCAAAATATATAATGTCTTCAAACATTCACAAACATCCAATATGAAAACCACTAAATACCCGGTTCCTACAGATTCACACCACAGTTATCTTTCTAAAACATGGATCATGCTATAGTGTTGCTTTTAAAAAATATTATTCTGAGGCTTACCAAATGCAACCATGACTCTCACACAAGAGTGTATGTGTATGTCTGTTTATGAGTTTTGACAGGGACAGAAGGGAATATATCTGATTATCTTGGAAAGTAGGGGTGATCTAATTCTTCTCCTTACTCATGGGGAACTACTGCCATACGGAGGTACATAAAGGATTAGCAAATTTCCTAATGCTGGGGTGGAAAAAAGGCTGAGAACGTATGGCCTAAAGATGAAGTCCAGATACTTAGAATCCAGGTTCCAAACTACATTTTCTATCATTCTCGAATCCACATCTTTGTTCTAGCTATAACGTACTCCTAACTCCTATCCTTTGAGTACACCAAACTCTTCTTTGAGTACACCAAACTCAGTATAGGCTTTGACTATACTGCCCATCTGCCTGAAATTATCTTCTTCCCCCACTCTTTGTACTCCCAATGAGCTGTTTTTAACTTTCAAAACTTAAGACTATTATAATTATTATCAAGCCAAAGTGTTTGGAGTAGAGGTGTGGAGAAGGAGTCAAACACTGGATGGTTTGAAGGTAGAGCCTATAGATATGCTGATGAATTGGATACTGGTGTGAGAGAAAGAAGACTCAAGGAAAACTCAGTTTTATGCCTGAGCAAGTGAAAGAACAGAGGTACTACTTACTAAGATGAGGAAAACTGAAGTAATAGAATTTGGGGCAGAAAAATCAAGAGTTCAATTTTAGACAGGGCAAGTTTCGGGTGCTTATCAGATCTTCAAATACAGATCAAGTGGTTAGAAAATGACACAAATCTGGAGTCAGAGGATAGGTATGAGTTACAGTTAACCATTTTGGAATTGACAGAATATAAACAACATTTAAACATGACTAGGTAACTCAGGAAATGAATACAGATAGAAAAGAAGCCCAATGGTTAAATCCTAAGGCATTCCACGTCTGTTAGAGGTCACAGAAATTGGGAAAACTCCAGCCAAAGAGATGAAAACCAAGGTAGTGGCTGAAATCCAGAAAACTATTCAAGAATGAGGGCTGTGC